CAAATGAATTAATAGTGATTTTGTCTAATGCTAGAAGGGAACAAACACAGTGTGTATTGGCTTGACTGAGAGATGGTGTATCTGTGTATTTTGTGAATTATTTAAGAGATTTTTAAGGGTAATTGTGAGTATATATAATTTTCATCTTATTCACTGACTTTAGAACCTAACTTGCCCACAAAAGTCTTCATTTACAGCCCCCCCCCAAAAAAAAAGTAATTAAAGGATTAGGAATTAATCCTTATGTTAACTGGTTTCATTTAGATGAGCTGCTAGCTATTTTCTAGCTATGCAATCTTGAGCCAGTCACTTTTCTAACACAGAGAAGGGTGATAGTAGTATCTGCCTTAAATAGTCCCTGGGGTTGCTTGAAGCTCAAATGAGATATGTCTAAGCATTAATTAGGTAATGCACTACGGAGAATAAGGGAAAAATTAGTTGTCATGAATTCTTAAGATCAAAGAAAGCTATTACTTTACTAAACTTGTTTTAAAGTATTAATATACTTTATTTCTATCTTTAAATACTAGGTGCCACTTTAAAGTGGCAGTTCCTTTTTCTGAAGAGTATAATTCTTTTGACTTCTTGACTCCCCAATGAGATGTTTTTAATCCCTCATCCTTGAAATTTATAAATTAGTAATGAATCAAAGAAAATCTTCCATTGCTGGAGTTTTTAGTGAAGGGTAGTTATAGGTTTATCGTTCTATTTTAAGTGGAAACAAATTCTCTTAGAACATTTTTAAAACAATCAAAATCTTGCACGATAGAGGTCTTATTTTCTAAATAGAGATAGACACTGCTATTATTAGCACCATTTGTTAATCTCCCCTATATATATTTAGGTCTTATGCAGAGTCACTGAAGAATGCTAAAATGGGGAGACCAAGTTTAATATAAAATACTCCTGCTATTTAATGAACCTGAGCAGGGAAGAGCTACTAGGGCATTTATATTTGTACTGGTATTGTCACCTATAGTAATTAGTTTGAAGTAAGGTCACCTTAGCTATTACTGAATATCTTCATGTAACGTTTCTAATCAGGGTGTGGAATCATAGTTAAGGTAATAAGTTACAAATTAGACTTACTTAATCGACTAACTTTTTTCTACTAACTATGCTTTTTAGCTCAGAGAGGTATATAAATATTATAAGGATAGGCAGATACTAAGTCTGTTAATAGAGAAATACGGATTTTATGTACAAACAGTTTTAAAAAGTACATTTTATTAAAGAAAAAGTATCATTTTTAGTGTGGACCAAATGCATACTGTAAAAAATTGCTTGAGCCCTGTTCCTCCAAAGGCTTTGTTTTCTGAAATTGAACCCCAAAAATTCAGAGCCTGAAAAAGAGTGGTAACGTTTGAAAACATTTGTGAAAATGTTCATTTCTTACTGATTTGGCTAGTTGTGTATGCAGAGTGTAGCAGATGCTATCAGTTTCCACTTGGCATTTCTTGGCTGCCCTGTATACCAGGTATTTACCATTTCAGTGCTTGCCAACCTGATTTCCAACTGCTGGTACCTGTATTTTTTGCTTAAGGGCTTTTTCTGGCGCTGGGAACCTGCACTGCCAGAAAACTAAAACTCATTATGTCCCTTTCCCTCAGCTCTCAACCAGTGAATGGCAGGAATTGGTGTGTAACGACCCCAACTATCTTGCCCCTCTGATGGGATAACCCTGAGGTGTATTTCTACACAGACCTGCGGAATCCCCAGTGGGATTAAGGTCCAGGTTACCCCCAAGGGTAATTTTCTACTGATAGTTTTTAGGAGTACCTCCCAAATAAACTGTGCTTGCACTTTAATAAGGGTCTGTTGCTGGGGGAATCCAAACTAACACATAAGGGCATGTTTCTTTTAACAGATTCTATAGCAAAACCTTAATTTGTCCAAAATTTAGATTCATGGGGCATTTTTTTTACAAGTCTTCTATTGTGAATTCTTTTTATTCAGAAAATTTGTATAAATAAATTGTATATTAATATTCATTAAGTGCACTGGAAA